TGCTGCCCATCAGAAAACATCCTTAGAGACTCTGAAGTTGAAATCCTACACCAAATAATCACTGGTCAGATTACAGTAAATGGCTGTTAGAGAATTTACATGGACTTCTCATACTGCGTTTTCTGCTAATGATCAGCTGTGTTTGATCATTGGCGGATCAAACTGAGGGTACCAGCCAGGCCTGATTGCCTCCTCGGCCCCTCTGATGCTCAGCTGGAGAACGTGGGTCCAGCATGGCTCCCTGGATCCTCTTGCAGCACGTGACAAGCACGGCCTTACCCAGCATGGCCTTAAAAAGATTCTCACGTGACTGACTCCTTTGCAAGCTTGAAGGGCTTTCGATGTCATCCCCACAATTCTGCCAGCCCAGGGCTGGGACCCTGACCCTTGCTACCTGCTCTGTTATTCTGTTACTACTGACTGACCCTTTCCAGTCCTGGACACTCATTTTTTCTCTGCATTGCACCTTCTGTTTCAAGTTCCAACCTCAGCCCTATTCACATGGGCCTGGTTTCTGCCACCTGCTATAGCTCACTCCTTGTCAGAGAAGGAATCGCCTTCTTATTTCAAACCCAGTATTCTTGTCCAGTGTGCTTTACCTTCCGTAGCTCTGACCTTGAAAACAAGTACGAATTGCACCTATCTCAACAACCTTAACATTATGAGACCATCAGTCTTGCAAGCGCGTGGCATTGTTCAATGAAGTCTGCAGAAAATAATAGAAATAAAGTCATGGTTGAGAAATATTATGGTGTGCTAGGGCAAACAGCGTCCAGTTATCTGTAGGTGCTAAAGTAGCATTAGCTTATTTATATTTATTCAGCTTCTTCAATACTCAGGCTACCATAAAGCACATTTTGTCCCCAGAGGACTTTGCATATGGAGGAGAAATGGATATAAATGAGAGATGCACTAATCGCTTATCCATTTATTTAATAATTATTTATTGAGAACTATGTTCTGAGGCCAAAGGTTCCAGAGATGCAATGGTTTTCTCCCAGCTTTCGTGGAGCACACAGTCCATTGGGAGCAGTATAAACAAACAACAATAATGCTATTAGCTCCCTGCGGCACGAAGTGCACCGAGCAATGGGAAAGGATCCCATGGAATGTTACTACAGCCAAGAATCCCAGTGACTGGGTGACAGACTCTTTAGAACAAGACACAGAGAGGGTTACCAGGGTTTGGACCAGAAGCATTCAAGCTTTTTTCCTTTTATAAAAGCAAAGGAAGCCCACATCCCACTAAATATGTTTGCTTACAAATTCTATCTATGTACCATCGTACTTACACGTTATTTACATTGCAAAGTGTAACTCAAATAGTCATGTAAGAAGATGAGCTTTTAAAGATATATGAATGCAGGTTCCAATGTCCTCGGGGTCACCTTCATTAGCTTGGGAGTAGACACCTCAACTTGGATACCACCAGCCTAATCGAGAGTGGAGTTCCCACTATGGCTGGCCAAAAAAAATCTGGATTTAATAAGTGTACCCAGATATTTGGGACAACTCACAAGTGACAACTGCAAAAGTAGCATAGATTCACCCAGACATTTGCAGGGTCCTGGTAAACACCATTTGTACAAGACATGATTTCCCAGGAAGAAGCCATTCAAGAGAAAAAATTAGATTGAAGTTGCTTAGTGAGCATAGAATTAGAACAAATGGAACTGTGGTCTGCGGAGACTGATCAAACCGCCCTTCTCCTCTCTGGGGATATTTCTGCCTGAATAACCAGTGCTGGACCTCAAATAAATACTGGCATGTTTTACTTCTAGCTTTCGTTTTTCTCGAATCATTTTAGACAACTGCCCTTCTGTTAATCCATCAGCATCTTAGGAAATAAGAAGATATTTGATTGGGTTGAAGCTTTAATTACATTCCTGTCCTGGGGATACAGCCTAAAGAGACAGAATTGCTTTGCTTAAGGCTGAAGAAGGGCTGGGGAGTTTGATCTTTGCAGATGCTTAGGTGGTTGAGGGGCTCTCAGCCAATTAGGAGGAGCAGAATCCTTCTGGCCTCAGGTGACTCATCTTCATTTTCTCCCAGCCTTGAGACCGATTCTCTGCTGGGTGAGAGGGGTGCTCATTTGATTTTGGTTTTCTCAAGAGTTTTGCAAGCAGCCAGTAAAGGTGACTGTGCCTTTAGGTGAACTTCTCTCTCCTGTAGGAAGCCAGACTCTGAGCCAGAGGAAGGCTTAGGCCTCCAGTGACAGCAGCTTCAAGGATAGAAAAGATCCTTTTTCTCTGGTATTATTCTGTCCAATACCATATCATATTCTTTTTCCCAAAAAGAAACTAACCTACTTTTCTCCTTCTGACAACTATGACTCTGCAGCTAAATAGCAGTTTAAAATTGCACTAAGACTTTTGGGATGCCTTGAAAACACTCAGTCCCTCTTACTTTACCACCGGTATTTTTATCTTAATTGAGACATTTACAAAGATATTTTATACTGACTCACTGATTATGTATTAGCTGCTGTTAATTAATAATTAATAATGAGGCCATTAAACTGAGTCAACTTCAGAGGCTAAGGAGATATTATGGACAACTTTATGTCCATGAATTAAACAACGAAGCTGAAAGATACAAATTCCTTGGACACCAAAACCCAATTTGATGTAACTAGTGAAATGAAACTTAAACTTCATCAATTCAAAACCACCAACTAACTTCTAACCAGGGACTTCCTACATTAATCAATCAAATACAGTCAACCTTCAATAGCCTTGTGTTCTGTGTCCATGGATTCAATAACTCCTGATAAAAATATTCTTTAAAATTGCATCAGTTCTGAACACATGCAAACGTTTTTTTTCTTGTTATTCCCTAACCAATATAGTAGAGCAACTATTTCCTTAGCCCCTGCCTTGTGCTGGGTATAAGTAATCTACAGATGATTTAATGTAGACAATTGAATGTGCAAGGTTGTATGTAAATATTTCTGCATTTTATATAAGGGATGTGAGCATCCACACATTTGATATTTGCTGGGACTCCTAGAATCAGTCTCTATAGACACCAACAAATGACTATTTCCTTTACCTTGCTTTTATACCTTATAAAATTCCCTCTCCTGCCCTCAACTACTGAAGCACTAAACCACTAGCAGCCTGGTTATGCCCAATCTGGGAATACCTAGGCTCACATAAACTCATTAAAAACTTACTGTACCTGTCTATAATGTGTTTATCTTTAAACTTTTCATGTATGTACCTAGATGTCACTATATCCTATATGTCTGTAAAAACAAAAACAAATAGCACTAATTAAATAAGAAGGTGTTCTAATATACAAGATATTAAAATATTTTTAATTTAAAACTGTGGCTTAAATTTAGAAATGCTAATGCAAAGTAACTGTTATTTAAAAATAATAGTTGAATTCAACATTGCATATGTACATAATTATTATTAAAGGAAGTATGTAGTGTGGGTCTGAATAAAAATTAATGAAACGAACTTAGTTAATTTACTATGCTCTTTGGAGAAAAGATACAGCAACTATTTTGTTTTGGAGCTTGTATTAAAGCTAACATCTTTAGTTACTGCTTTAAAATATGTTCATGTATTTTGGTCTTATGGTGTGGTAGTAAATGTACCCAGAAATGTTCACATGAAAAAGGAATTTCTCCCTTGGAGATGAAAAAGAGAGTACAGTTGTGGTCTCCTGCTATTTCTTTGATCCATCTGTCCTGACAGAATCTGAATAATCCAATCTGGTGTTTTTAATTTGTCCTGTTGATTATGGCTCTTGTGGGAACACTAGCTACTTGGTCAAGCAATGAATGAAGAGAGGTGGGGGGTACCAGCTTGTCTTCCCTAAGAACTCCACAGTAGCAGCTGACTAGAGCCCCTTGGCTGAGATCAGCTCATCACTCTCCATCCACCCCCAAAACACAAGCCAGGGCTCTGCTGGGGTACCCAGGAGGGAGCTGGGGTTCCCAGAGAGGAGCTGGTTAGGGAGGAGACTGTTTGGCTGGCTGGTTGGTTGGCTGCTTTTTTTCAGGAGGATGATGTTGTTGGTGGTGATGCTTTTTGCTTTAGTGGTATTGAGCCCAAGGCCTTTACACAGAGCTGTACCCCAAGACCTTTTTTAAATTTTCTAGTTTTAGTTTTGAGACAGGATCTCACTAAGTTGCCCATGCTAACCTCGAGCTTGCAATCCTCCTGCCCAAACCCAGGAGTGTTGGGATGATAAGCATATGCTACCACGCCTGACTAGGAGACCCTCTCTTTACAGCAACTCATTTCGGGGGCTTAGAGAAGGGAATCTAAAGAAACTACCCTGGCTCAGCCTGGTCACTTCTTGCTTTTTCCCAGCCCCCATTTCTTCAGGGCTTCTGACTCCACAGGAGTACCCCTGGAGCACCTGCACCAGGTGTGTGAACACCTGCATCAGGTGTGTGAGCACCTTCTGATGCAGGAGCAGGTAATGCTACACCAAGGCAGGAATGGATAAGAATCATGAGCAGAGTGCCACAGGCTTCGGTTTCCTCCTTAATCATCCTTCCATGGAGCCTAAATGTTTCTGGCACCAAACCAAAGCCACCAGCACACAGGCACAAGCACAAAACAGCCCCCAGTCCCCACCCCACACAGCAGCACCAGGGGCTTCTCTCCATTTCCACCTCCTACCGTTGATTCCCAAATCCCTCCAGGACTGGAGGAACCTCAGCTGTCAATCTTTAACAAAATATTTTATACTGATTGTATATATCGATATTGTAATTGTACATAAAGCTTGTTTGTTAAATCAAAAAGACATACATGCAATAAATGTACTTTGTTTATTTTAATCACATCCGTGTAACTTTCAGAAACTCAGAGACACATTTGTGGGAACTTAGTGCAAAAATCCCTCGCAGTAGAATGACAGGGAACAAGGCCATGGTCAAAGCAGGATGACGAAGCTCAAGACACGGATATCTTTCATATAATTACCCCAATCAAGGTGCAAATTAAAGGGGTTATTTTTTTCTTTTCTTCCCACAGGGAATTACTGGAATGCCGCCTCTTTCCCGAACCCATCATCCTACCTGCACTTCTCCACGTTCCAAGGGGAAACCAGCGCGGACATTTCTTTCTATTTCAAGACATTAATCCCCCGGGGAGTGTTTCTTGAAAACCTGGGGAACACAGATTTCATCAAGTTGGAGCTGAAATGTGAGTATTTGTTCTCTATCGACTTTGAGCGGCACCTTTGTGCCTGCAGGCTGGTCCTGGCCAGGGTGGTGATGAGGCGCCGTGTGATGGGAACATGGATGGTCCTTGCTTTGTTCCACGAGCAGAGTTAGAATGCAGACTCGAGCTCGGTCCTTGGGATGCTCCCAAAGACAAGACTCAGGTCCAGGCAGAGATGCCCATTCCAAGTAATCAGGGGGAATTTTACTATCCCAAGGCAGGGGAGGACAATAGACAAAAGGTTCTTTCTCTGATGGGATTGTTTTCCAAGGAGACAGGTCATGCACAGACAGAGGAGTGTGCAAAGTGATCTGAGAAACAAGAAGTGGGAGGGGATACCACGAAAAACTGAATCGTAAATTGTCCATCTGCCTGCCGGCGGCAGCTCCAAGACCAGTTATCAGAGGAAATGTTGAGAGCACAGTCTTCCCAAAGAGGCCCGGTGCCCACACACTCTGCAAAAGTGCAACTCCCGCCTTCCCACAGGCTTTTCATCCGCAGGGCCTACGCTCAGCCCTAGGAATGTACAGCCCACCCGACTTCCAGGTGAGGTGGGCGTCTGCAGACGCAGGGCTCTCCTGCCATTTAGACAAGGCTGCGCCTGGTGTCCCCAGCACAAAGTCTGGGTCCCCGGCTGGGCATGTCCGGAAGCAGCCTTCCCTACTGTGACCCTTTATCTGAGTTTCTATGCTATTGGGTCTGATCCAAGGACAACTGCAGATCCAGTTCTTCATATTATCTGATAGGACATTTTTCTGGTTTTTGGGCTTAGAATTGTGCAATGTGACATTAAAAAAAAAGGATATCCAATATAAACATCTTGGTGATGAATTCCACTGTATTCTCTCTCTCTCTCTCTCTCTCTCTCTCTCTCTCTCTCCCTGTCTGTCTGTCTGTCTTTCTCTCTCTCATGGTAGATTGTGATGAAGCAGGATAAGGACTTTGGAGTTATTTGGAGTTAGCATTCTCAAGTTCACATCCAAATTTTGGGTGAGGGGCTGGGGATTTAGCTCAGCGGCAAAAGCGCCTGCCTGGCAAGCGCAAGGTCGTGAGTTCGGTTCCCGGTACCGGAGAAAAACAAAAAAAAAAAAAAAATTTTGGGTGAATTGCTTAATTTCTGTGAATGTCCATTCCTGATATGATAAAATAGGGCTGTTAATTTGTGTGGGTCGTTGTGGGGATACAAGGAAGCTAGCGAAGCATTCATTTCAGCATTTACTAGGTATTGTAAATAATTATCTTCCAAGGTTGCTCATTACAGATCTGATCTGAGCCAGATTGGACCAAAAGGGAGACTGAGAATATTCTCACCCTAGAATTAAAGTTATTAATTAATTAAAACTCTTAACTAAATTATGGACTAGAATTATTAAAAAGGGATTTTCACTTCACTCCATTAAAATTAATTGAATCAAGCTAGAAAGCTTTTCCTTTCGTTGGATCACATTTTAGAAATAGCTCGTGCCCAGAAAAGAAAATTGATGATTCCGTGTTTGAGTAATTCTGTAAGTTTTTATAAAATTACTTGCATTCCCCATCTTTACTTTTCATCTCCTGTTTTGTAAAGCCAAGCCTGAAGGGAGAGAAGAAAAACTCCAATCCAGACAGGACAGGTGTTTCTCCTTAGCACTCACATCAAACAATGTGGTTCATTTCTGATTAAGAAAAGTGTTCAGAGACGTTTTCAAGGGCTTCTCGGTCTTTCCATATTGTGACGGTTCTGTGATGCAGAGTGGCCACTGGGTAGAATCTGAGGAGGTTCCTGATCCAAAGCCTGCCCTCTCAGCAGAATAACTTCTCCTGCGGGTTGACTGACTCTTATTACTTGTGAGCGGGGTAAAGGGTTTATTAGGCAGAAATTCAAAAGTGCACATGCAAAAAATGGAATGCAGGCCCTCAAGAGAGAGGCATATTATTTCCTGGAAGTTAGGTCATTTATGTTTCTCTGGAGGGGGTGGAAACCCCAAGAAAATGTGTCCCGCTCCACCCTCATAAGGGTACTGGCCCAGATTACAGACACGGGCCCGTTTTTAAAATTTTTATTAGTACGTGTGTGAAATACATGATGGTGCCATTTGTGTGTGGAGTTGGCACATGTGCATAACACACCTTAACTCCTTTTTTCATCCCCTCTCCGTCATCTTCCTCCCTCCTCCATCCCTTGACATCCTCCCCCTTTGAGAAAGATCTATCTCCTTAGTCCCGCTTACCTATCTTTTATTTTGCTCTTTAGTTATGACTTGGGTTTCTCATGCAAGAGAACCCCTTGTTATTTTAGCCTGTGTGTCTGATTAACTTCATTCATATTACAGCTTCAAGGTGCATTTATTCTCCTGCAAACAATTCAGAATTCTCTCAGCCTATTCCTCTGTCTGAGGACCAGGTTCCTGCTCTTTATTTCTTCAGTTAAGCCGACTTATAGACATACAGTATTCTTGCAGAATTTTGAGTGGGATGGGTCTGAAAGGAGGGAAGCCTGAATTAGCCAAGGGAATGCAGATATGGGTCACCGTGGGTAACTTCAACTGGGTCCCAGAAGTTGTCATCTTCTTAAAAGAACCATTTTTAGTTATGATTTCCTTGTCTCCTTTCTACCTATCTTTATTTTTTTTCTACCCTATCTCAGGGTGAATTGCTACAGGCTTTTTCTTATTGCACAGCTTCTTTTCTTTGCCATATAGTTTACTTTAGGAGAAGGCCCATGCAACATTCAAAGCATGCATTTGAGGCTGGTCTCTCGGCAAAGACTCCTTGTGCATAAGATCCCCACATGGCAGATACCGACATCCGGTATCCTATGGCATCTCTCCTGGGGTCAAAGCAGCCTGCTCATGGGGGAAGGGAGGCAGATCTTTCTTTTTTGTGTGTGCACCGGGAATCAAACTCAGGACCTTGCGCTTGCCAGGCAGGTGCAGTGCCACTGAGCTATATCACCAGTGCACAAGAGAAACTTCTTCAAAGTAAAAAAGAAGTGGCGTGTTCAAGAACATAGCAACACGTCAGAGAAACTGAGTCACAAGTTAAGGGACAAAGAGGGTTTATAAACACAGAGGCAAGCAGCGTTGGATTCCAGGGTCTTGCCAACTTCAAAGGAGTTTTGAGCGCCAAATCTCAAGGGAGAAGGGGGATAAAGCCAGCTGTTTGTCAGGAACTTACAGTAGATAGGACAGCGAGATGTCTTCTGAGGAAGGGCCTGGGCATCTTTTGTTTTGTTTTGGGGGGTACTGGGGTTGACCCCAGAGCCTTTGCCTTTGAGCTACATCTCAAGCCATTTTTTTAAAATATTTTTGTTTTGGTTTGGTTTTGGTTTGTTTTGGGTTTCTTGGTTGTTTTTGTTTTTTCTTTTGTTTTTACACAAGGTCTCACTAAACTGTTAAATTACCCAAGTTGGGCTTGAGTTTGAGGCTCTCCTCCTTTCCAGAGTGCTGGGATTAGAGGCAGGCACCACCAGGCCCAGAAGGTATTGGGTCTTTTAAAGAATATATGTGGGGCTGGGGACTTAGCTCAGCGGCACAGCACCTGCCTGGCAAGCGCAAAGTCATGAGTTCAATTCCCGGTACCGGGAAAAAAAATAAAGAAAGAAAGAATATATGTGAAAAGGTTCTTGGAGGAGAAGGCGGAGAAAGGACAAAAACAAAGAAACTCTTTTGTCTGTTAGAACTTAGAGGTGAGGTGACCTAGATGGCTGTTCACAGGGATATTCCACTCTCAGCGTCACTGCAGAACTATAGCCCTCAGCACATAAGCTGCAGCACATCGTGTGTGGGGATCTGGTGCTGTTTCAACACATACCGCTAAAAGGGTGGACATTCCCGTAGGGCCACAGTTCTGAGAGGCAGACGTGATGAAAGCCAGGTCTCTCATGCCCTCCCTGGCCGACATTTTGGGGCTACCTCAAAAAGCTTTGACTTTTGATTTCAACCTCTTCCACAAAGAACATGGGGGAAACAGTGAGGAGTGAGACCTCCTGCTCCCACACTGATCACAATTCCATTCCAACATCCCAATGCTGCCCCATTGGGATCCCTGGCATTTATTTCTCCCCACGCCAAGCAGTCCCCACACACCTCCCTGTCTCCTGGCAGTGGCTGTGACCAGAGGGCTCCAGAAAGGAGATTTCTGCACTCAAACTTCGGCAAAGTGCCTCTCTTTTTCCTTCTTTAGTTTGCTAAGCTTTCTGATCTCTTTCTGATAGGAATTCAAATTTTGTCTCTCTGTGTGTGTCTCAAAGGAATTGTGCCACAGTGCATGCCTTCCTGCTGTTCTCCAGAAGAGCAGCCCTGTTAATTAACTACATTGTGCCCTTCTGTCAAGAGTGGAAGATTCTAGACTGACGGAACAGGAAGCCTGTGTACAATAAGTTAATGAGATGCCGCTGACAGCCTATGTGCAAATAGAAAAACACGTAAGATAAATGAGGGCAGTCTTACTCATGAGCATACCTTAAGGGTAAAATTTTAACTCTTGTATTTCATTGATTTACCATTAACATTTAATCGTTCATTCAACGAGTACTTATAAAGTGTCTTCTAGGTCCCAGGTACTGTGCTGGGTGCTGAGGGAATACAATCAAACCAAAAATGGTTTAATTCCTTCAAAGATGTCCATTTTGGAAAACAGAGAAGTAAATCAGTGGATATGATAATAATCAAATAGTTGAGCATTATTCAGACATTTGAGTCCCAAGCCTTATCCAAAGCGTGCTCTCCCTACCCTCTGATTAGGGCAGTGTCATTCTCATCCCTGATTTATACAAAGGCACTGAGGCACAGGGTGGGTAAGTGGCCCAGCCACGTCACACAGCTAGGAAGTGCAGAGTGGCTGTGTGACCCCAACACTTTGTGTCCCAGAGTCACTGCTGAGGACACTGAAGTGCACAGTCTCCAGCAGCAGACGGAGAGTGTCTGAGAGCACCAAGGGGGAGCATGGAAGCCTGACTGGAGTGACAAGGAGTGCTTCCCAGGAAACAGAATGTTTTAATT